CTTCGCGTAATTAGGTGTTCGTATGCAAGGGGTTTTTGTTGTCGGTTGGTTTAATATAACCCCAACGGACAGTATTTTTGTGAAAGATTGGTATTTTTGTAGTGATTTGTAGGAATCTGAAAAACGCGTTTCACAACTTGTCTCCTATTTAGTTTTATGCGTCATTCAAGATGGCGGCTCCCATATAGTAAATATCGCATTTATTTTATTATATCAGATGTGCGCCAGCTGACTGTGGCGACAGCGTACTGTCTGAGTGCATACTTTGAGGTATCTTCGTAATAACCTTATTATTATACATCTTTTCCTACTAAGGATACATCATTGGAATGCCGAAATCCAAAAAAATAGAACAGAATCAGCAAACTTCTTTGTGTGAAGTCCAGTCAAACCCTGGTGGCAGCCATGTTTGTTTTTATTATTAGAAGACACTTACGCGCGTAATCATTCCATAATTGGAATTCGCATTTCCTAATATGGTAGGATGAAAATACCCCGTAAAATACCGCAAAATTACGGCACGCTGTAACTTATGGCGTTACGGTGACAGATGTATAATAATAATATATAATAAATTTGCTCCCTTTCCCGCATAAAACTTGAGTTGTTTTCGGAGATTGCCAGAAAAATAAGAGTAGTAACGATTTTCCTTCAGTTGGGATATCTTTTGGGGTCAAAATACTAGAATAATACATCTTGGGAGAATAATTATTAATGATATAAAATCGACGATGCCATACGTGCTTACCTTGCATCAGATGGACAACTGCTTTACCTGCAAACTCGGTGCTTTCAGCCCTAGAGAATCCATTACTCATCTGAAATGTTTAAATAAAATATCTAATAACAGTAACTGGATCCATTTCTTAAAATCAGTCGCATTTATAAAAGTCACCATTGTGGCTAACTGTATATATTATATTACTAAATTTTGTTCGTACCACAACATCTTTCTCAAATGGATCCTTTAATAGGAAATCTTTGATTAATTCCGTTCTAGCAGGTCCAGGCCATATGGACACGTAAGCAACATTATGTTTCTTTAACTCTTGACCACAGTCAAACGCCATCTTGTCACACTGACGGAAAGAAACATTATTTTCTGTTAGTGCTGACAACTAGGTTGATTTCTAAAATTTAGATTGTATATGTAAATAAAAATATCATAATAAAAAGAGTTTTTTGAAAACCAAAGACACGGAGACAATTAACAAGTTTACAGTCAATGTATGTAAATGCCTGACTTGCCTCTTATATAAGCAGAAAAGAGAAAGGACTTGGCGGCTGTGACAGGTTTAATTACAGTTTAAGGTTGCACCAGTTTACGGTTCTCTCACTATGGTTCTTCCTGGCCTAAGTTCATCAGACGTGCCCGATTAGATTAGTGAGCTGGGCCCTCATTAGATTATGTTCAGGCGTTATTTTTAGTTGGTATGAAGTAACGAAGTGCAAAAACTTTAACCATTTATATACGTAATAATGGGTAACCCCAACCAGAGTGTCCATATCGGTATGGAATAACCATTAATGTGACAATTTAAGAAGCAATCATATAAGAGTAAAATACACATGCAGCAAGATAAGAGTGAGTGAATCCTCGTTAGTTTGTGATGACATAGTGACCGCAATCGTCATCCAACTGTAAGGCCTTAGCTGATTGGCTCCTGAGTTGGATGACGATTTCGGTTTCAAATACCACGCGAATGTATTTGAGGTTCGTCGTGTAAAGAGGTGTTCGTATGCAAGAGATTTTCCACGCAAAAACGACGAATACGGTCAAATTTTAATAGCTGTTGGTTACCCTCAGCGGATCGTTTGTCTGTGAAAGTTTGTTATTTTCCCCCTGATTTGTAGGAAACTAAACTGAAAACGTTTCTCAGGTTGTCTCTTTATTTAGTTTCAAGCCGTATTCAAGATGGCTACCCCATATAGTACATATCGGTAAATTAATCGCATTTATTTTATTATCACTTGTACGCCAGCTGACTCAGCTGACGCTAATGTAGTTCTATCCATGTAGCCCAACATACACCCCCATCTAGCAGATACAATAGTCCATTTTTATCAATATCATCAATTACCAATCAATCACAAATAATCTAGTTCCCCACAAACTGTGACACTGAAATATAAGATAGTGTGAACTGAACTTACCCCAGCCTTGCCTATACCATAGGCAGCATTGAAAAAATACATTGCACCCGCATAAGACGAGATGTTGATAATTAAACCCTGTTTGGCTGGAACCATCATCCTGGCTGCTAACGCTGCGGCAATATAGTAACCTCTGAAAAGAACAGTATACGTCACAGGGAGGAACACAGTATAAAATGTTACTGGTAGAAAACCACAAAGCCGCAAATAAATTGGTATTTTCCATGTTTTCAGTAAATCGTTCAAAATAGATTAAATTTGTGAAATCAAAATTACAGGCATATACGAACTGTGACATATAAAAGTGAAACACAAGACATCGCGCTTGAGATTCTATATTTTAAATAAAACCCATTTCAATGGAACCGGGAATCATCATTCACCCGTATTTGCAATACTGTAGTCTGACTGTAACTTAGCACATATTATCAGAAACCTAAACTTCAACAAGGCAATCAAGAATACAATGGTCAGAAGTACTGCATGTACACCATTTATTTCGTTAGAAGTGAACCCAAAATAGAAGTGTGGATAGGCTAAAGACTTTGGTAACTTTACTCATTTCCCTAAGATTGTCGTCAGCAAGTGATATCTGTCAAGTCATGAATGTCAAGTCAGGCTTCCCATTTTTTTAGTATCATTTGACAGTTGATGGGTTTTTGATCAACAGTCAATGTAAATACCTAGCATGGTACGAGTACTGATGTTTTACTGGCTTCAAAATAGCCGATGGTCATTTTGCCATTTTTTAGAATGAATTTGTATCATTATCTACATACACTGTTACATGAATGTAGTACTAATTATTTATGGTACATATTAACAAATGCTCCAGTACTACAGAGACAATGGCGTTCTTCCAACCGTCAGATTATTATAAAAATTAAAATGCTATCTAAAACAACTACATATTCACTGTTGTATTAACGCCAATGACATTATATATGATAGCCTTTAAAACACATTTGTGTGAAATAACATTAAATGAGATGTGCCATACAATAGTTTCCCCGGTCTTACCTCAACCCAGCATTATTTGCAATATCCCACATACTAAGCGGCAATTCCCAGAATCCTTTATCCAGTTGTGAAAAGATACACTGCAATGGAACAAGAACATTTTAAACATGAAAGACCAAATAGCACTGTGTATGTTATGTATAGCAAGCACGTGTTTTGTCTAGTCAAAATGTAGATGTATATTTTCGGTAAGTTGCTCTAAATTAAAATACAATTTGAAACTAAGCTGTAAAAGGTAGCTACAGTATTTGACCGTGGTATGTGTGATCAATATGTGTGAACGAGGAGGTTATATATACAGGTTTATTTGTTTTTTGAACTTTTTATAAATGTTAAAAATGGCGGTGAAAGAGCTACTGATGGTATTTATTTCAGTATAGTGACATAGATATCAAATAAATACTTTCGATTCATTTAAAATTGTTATGTATTCACATATTATATAATATTTGTTTTAGATTTATGAACATTGTCGTATAGGCTGTAACTTCAATAAAGATTTCAATTTTTTTCTTAGACTACACATATGGTCTTATGTATGTCATATTAATTACACAGAAAGAATATAGATATTCAATAGCCTCAACGTAATATGCTTTAATGACAGAAGTCTTCACCGTGGTCTTTGTGAGCTTATTAACATTGCCATGCATGTTTGCATTATCATTTGTTTTTTTCCCCAAAACGATTTCCACTAAACAAAAATGTTACACACTGTGGCCCGATATGAAAATATTTAAATATATGCAACTTTTGATAATAAATACTGTCATGTTATTTTATATAAACATACACACGAAACGCCCTTGTATAATCACTCAATCCCTATCACCATATGTAATATGGTTCAATATGTAGCGGTATTTAGAAATTAAAACGAATGTAGATGCTAGATAATTATTGACAGTCAATTGCAAACAGAGCACGAAGGCTAATTTGCCTATGAACTGTGAAAGGGGGTCAATCCCAGTATCAGACAGCCCACCTTGAATCGACGTCACTCAATTTGAATGTCTGTGTCTCGGTCGCAAGATAAAACTTGACTGGTAAATTCTAAAGTCTATTTACTCAATATTTAATATCGACAATGACACGAGATTTAAAAGTGTATACAAATAATATGAGTCACGACATTGTTATGCAAGTTTTCAGACAGGTTATTGTCATAATTTATCACAATATAGGACGTGAAAAAGACAATTGCAAAAGCATATATGTTACCAAGGCGACATCAACGCTCACCTCAACTCCTGCGTACGCATTGTTAACCAAGAGATCCAGTCGTCCATTTTGTTCTTTTTTTATTTTATCGAATAATTCTTCTACTTGTTTATCATCTGTGTGATCACATTTCACTGGTATACAGGTGCCACCACGTTCCTCCACCTACGAATGACGTCACAAGCATTCAGTAATGTGGTTAATTATTCATGAATCGTTCGATCGATTGGAGCAAAAACATCCGCCGATGTTTGGAATGAACGGGCGTGCACTGGATTTTAACAACACAAAGATACGACAGTAGGAAATAAACAACCTATTGATCTTCCAAAAGGCGATATCGTTTGCGTGCATTTCCAGAATTTGTTTTATGCGCTGTTAAAAATGTTATAATGATATTATTTCACTATGGTCGATAAAGTGTTTTCTCAGGTGAAAATGACCCTGTGTCAACTTCAATAGGTGTATGACGTAGTAACTGTCGGTCGTCTATAACCTTATGATATCTACTATCTTCGCAACGCAAACGCATCGTTATCAATCGATAAGGCAGGTAGGAAACAGTTCATGTGCGTGTCGCATTCGATGTTGGCCTCATGCCACGGATACAACTCGTGTGAATGTATTGTTTAATAACTTTAGCGGTCTATAGTATGTATAATCAATTATCTTTTCATTTGTCAGTTGCAGTGTATAATATATTCATATAATAGAACATATAATGACATTCGCTGTAAGCAAAGGATGAAGCCAAAATGAATGGCGGCGCACACACACGCCATTCAATGTCGCTGACATTTTCCCAGTCGTTTTACAAAATAAACAAATTGCAAATTTCGGAATTAAAATGAAATCAGAAGCTGCAAAAGATGTCAATGTTGTGCTGTTTTTATCGATAACAAATGCAGAAAATAGAATACCCTGACCTACGTACAAGTACAGAGTCTATTATACGAGTTGCCGGCCGACATACAATAAATAGTTTACCTCTCGAGCCGTATCTTGTAAAGATCCACGATGATTTGTTGATTCTGATGACATCATAGTTCTTCCTTAAATGTAAAACAACACTCGTAAAGTGATTTATATAACACGGGGGATGTAAATGTTCAAAACTTGGTACAAAGTGAAATGTGTATGAATATTAATAGGTACATCGGCGAATTCAGTGAACACGTGAAATGTATACTGAATGAATGTACTGAATGTTAAATATACACACCCAATAAAAACGCTTTTTACATAGTTGTCATCGAAACAGATGTTATTAACTTTGCTGTATGATTAATGTAATGTAATGAGAATAAAACCGAAGAAATAATATGTAATTATGACAAAGCCCACGTGACGAGAGCGTCACGGATGTCTCCGCAGGCACAGTACTTCAAAACACGCCAACGTACCTGTGATGTAAACCGTAGCTCCAGCTTCTCCGAGTTGCAATGCAATTCCTTTACCAATGCCACGACTAGCACCAGTCACAACGCACACCTTTCCTTGAAGTGGCTGTCCCATAATCGGAATTCTGTCAAGAGAATGTGAACATTAAGTTGCATTGTCTCTTATTTATTGAATACGACATTCGCATTTCTAAGGCGAAAGTATTTTATTTTGAAAATAATATTTCTGTAACTTCATTGACCTTTCATTGGATTGCATGTAGGAATTTTCGATGGATTATTTTAAGGTGTGTTGACACTGGTACTAATTCTGCGATCCAGCATTGTATTACATGACAGGGCAGTGTGGCCATATCAAGTGCATTATAACAACTTCATGCGCTATTCTGGCGTTAACCTGGCCACGATTAAGCACGTGCATACCTTAACCAAGGCTCCCTAAGTCGCATCCATGGCGGTTAGTGAATAAATTTCGATCTTACCATTGAATTCATGGCACACTCACTCGGGGTAAGTCGACTTTTTTCGGTGTTCAACCCCAAATAGGATTTGAATACAGATATCGTTCACAGTTGTAAAGATTGAATTTCAAACAATACTAATTTTTTGGTAAACATGATTTTCTTGATATATATGAAGTATTAGACATGGAAACTTCAATCCAGACGAACGGGAGTACAGTCATCGCACAGGGATTCGTTAACTATGTTTTAATTTTCATTGCTTCACTGCTCGGTCAAACAGCAGGCTAAAACAACCCACGACGGTCTATTCATCACACGTTTCCTGTTGGCGGGGGAATACTGGTGACGCGCATGGATAAGACCAAAACAGACCGAGTTCTGGTTTCAGAATTGTGCATATTTGTCCCAAGATTTCAATATATTTTGCCGACACACATGAACACAGCTGCAGCGTCCACTTCGCATATAAATGACGTATACAGAATAGTGTAGGTAAGTAAGAGGACGACAAGAATGCTTACCTTCGACCTCGCCTTCGATCCAGCCTCGCTTCGTTCATAGTGTCAATTCAGCCGCAGTCGCAATAAAAATATTGTGGCACAGCAGATACGTATACGTCTTTAAACTGAGTTGGTACAGTGTAACTATGAATGGCTTACACAACTTCATTCGTATTCCTGTCAACGGGATGACCCTTACATAACCTCGTTGTTAACGCAGGGTGCATGTCTAGGTCGCGATTTTCAAGGTCCCTCTCGTTGGGAAATTAGGTCAACAATGATCAGTGTATTTCACAGTGTCACATGACGCGTGTATTAATCAATTAGGTCACGCGAGTTGTACCATACATCACCGCCGATCCAATTACCCAATTACCAGAGTTTACAACAAAGCGTTTTTTTTGTTTTGCTCATTACCTCCAAGCTGCGGTGCATGCAATCAATGTTTGGTGAGTGAATTGAACATATTGGCATTACAATTGGTTGTTTTCAATAACGGCCATATTGACAATTCACCTGTTGTAAGTTAATTATTCTATTGTGTTAAGCTATCTGTGGTGATGTAGAACCAATTCCTAGCGGGACCACCAAAATTAAGCACTGGTAGAAAACTAAACTGACGGAGCCGGTAGTACTGGACGACGTTAAAGCTAATGAAAGTACCAAAATAAATCAAGGACGGGCTGCAGAATGTGAAAGATCACTTACAAGAGACCAACATTATAATCGCGAACACTGAAGCAGAAAATAGGGAACTAAATACACGGTTACAAAAAATGAAGAGTAACAAGATCGTTATGAAGGTCAATAACGCAGAACTAATCTTGTTTTTCATGGGATTTCACAAGAAGTTGAAACACAAGGCTGGTTGGATTCAGCTGCAGTATTACTGCTGACAAAAAAATTGTCGGAAGAAGGTGTGGAGAACGAACGCGAACACAGACTTAAAACTAAATCTCGGTCGATTAATGTTAAATTCAGCAAATGCAAAAAAAAAAAAAAAACCGCAAGAGTATTATGTAACTGAAGATTCCTCTCTTGCAGAGCGTGCAAAGAGAAAAAAAAACTTGGTCCATTTTCGCGAAAGCAAGAAATAAAGGCAAAAAAAGATTCCCTCGGGTATGGAAAACTATTTGTCGATGGTGAAACGTTTTAATATACGATACTGTAGACGATATTGTTAGGAAAGTATGCTATAAATGAGGTGTTACTAACGGGCCCACTAGCAACCTCTCATTCATTGTTTAGAATGTGTTTGACTTACATATAAATGGAATATTCTAGATTTTCCGTTGTATTTAAATGGATATGATATTATCTCCATAACTGAAACTTGGTGCACTAGTTAAAGGGCGGCAGTCGTCGCGCCGCGTCCTGTTCGATATGGGACTCATAGCGACGTATACAACGCGTGTAAAATACATTGTTTATTTACCGCGCTTTAAGCTCAGACCACTAAAGATGTCTGAGCTTTAAGACAACCACCTAAAGTTAGATGGTTATGCGCATGTGCAGAAAATTCGTGTCGGGCATTATTACTTTAACCTCCCGCCTGGCGCCTGGAGACATTAGTATTTTTTTATAAATTTGTTTAAATTCTGCCAAGTGATTTTGCAGACAACATTGTGTGGTTCTTTTGTCAATCAGGCAAAAATTGTTTTCAAATTGATGACGTCAGAGTTGTTGTCATGCTAATCTTAATATTAACAACGTTGCCGACGTCCATGCCAAATACAATTGGACCGACACATTTTGCGCTAATTGTGACATGTTTTGGGAGGATAGGCAGCCTGGCAGGCACGTCAAGATGTACGAGGAGTTTGATAACATATCAATTCAGATGATATTTTCAACGATTGCAGATACTCTTCTACAACTCTTGAATAAAACAACGGAAAGTATAAAGTCCAAACCGAAAATAGAGCTTCAATTTAAAAAGTCGGTCAGGCGTAATCACTACATAACAACTAGGGAGGTATACCAAACTCTAATCAGACATAAAACAAGATTGTATTAATGAGGAACAAGTCAAACTAGTTAACGCATCTAAGAAACCAAACTCAAAAGAATTCCGAGGTTTCCTGAAAGGCAAACAAATCGGTCCCCCATGAATATTAAACTACATGAGTGGTTAGGTTATTTTTCACGATTATTCTTAGACAATGTCTCTAATTTTTCTTTTCAATATAAAAGTAATATTTTTTTTAAATGGGCGAAGCACTTTTAGGATGATCTTGACGTCGACTTTAATATGAACCTACTCAGTGACAATCAATAACTATGAATGAACATGGATTGCTGTATTTAACGACTCAAAAAAAAAAAAAAAAAAGCACCATGTCTAGATGGCCTTTATCCAGAAATAGCATATCCCAGTTATTGTTCTACAGCTGATTAATTAATGTTTGAAAGAGATTCAAATCCCGCGCAATGGTACGAGGATTGATTGTTCCACTCAAAAAACAAAACAAAAACAAAAAACGTCAAAAGACAATATAACAATCTTTAGTCGCATTATTTTTTATCACATATTACTAAAATGACTTGAAGGGTATTGCTCTTTGAGTGAAGAACAGGGTGGTTTCAACAAGCAATCGTCTACAGCTGATACTCTTATAATTTGTCAACAATTATTCATAGATATGTGTCTTTGAAAGGTAAATTCGTACTGTCCATTCACAAACTTCGAGAAAGCTTTCATAGAGTTATTCAATGTATATTATTTTATAGTCGATTTGAATATCAGTTGTAATAATAATAATTATAACAACGATATTTGGTATTGTTTATAATTTATGCAAAAATGCAGCCATCATCCACCGCGGGATGGTGATAAATCTTGGAATAAACATCGGTAGCCACGTATATCCACTAAGCTGCAAAGAATCTTTTAAGTACCTACTGTGAGGTGGTACGTTTCCATCAATGTCTGTAAAACCATACTCTGATGCCAAGTCTCCCACTAATAAAATACGACCCGTTTTCTTCATTATGTTTGGGTCTGTAACGATAGGTAAATTTATATTATAGAATTGTAATTAATCATTTTGATAACTTTGATTGGAATTACTAGTAATTAGTTGTGATTATTCGACAAAATTATTGCCACACTTGACTGCGCTCCAAATGAAGTCTCCCTTCTTGAGAAATATCCTGTTGCAAGTAATCTCAGTGTTATTATGATTGACAAATATGGCCGACATTCTGCCATATATGAATCAAACAAAATAGTATATTATACAAGGAAAGCAAACACCAACTCTAACAGGCACATGATGGCACACGACAAATATATTTCTACTGTTGGATGTTGAAAAAAAAATATTTTAACCCTGTTATATATTCAGAATATAACACGTTAGTTACCGCTTGCCAGGTGTACGACTCCCTTGCCAGCATACTCGGTACTTTCTCCATTTTCAAATATTTTCGTTGTCTGTAAAGATGAAGTAGAATATTCGAAATCTAAAATCCTTGTTTCAAAATGTCTGACGCTGTACAGCAACAAGGAACAGAGACGGGTTTATTTTGTGACACATAGATAATGCCGCTGCAACGGTACCGAATTGTGACGACTCGCAATTAGTTTTCGTTCACACGCGTACAGTGTTTTGAGCCGGTAATTAAACCTGTGTGACTGCGTAGTCATTTAAAACAAGCAATGTATGAAATTGCAGTGCTGTTTATTAGTTATCGTAAGACAGTAAGTAAGTTATGTACAACATTATGTATCAATCATTTCACCGCAAGTGTTCACTATTCGTGTAAAGTTATTAATGGTATTAACCGTCATGTGATATGCTAATCTAAGTTTAGTGGGTGAGGCTTATGTCAATGACATCAAAATATATCAAGTTATTCATGCGACATGTATGTGGAACAACAGAACCTTTATAACAGATGTATGGTGATTTTTCAGAGTATAAAAATAGTAATATTAATAGTGGGAACCCCGCACGAGTAAATCAGACCTCACACGGACGAACTTGCTTGGAAATATCACACAACCACGCAAGAATTATTGCAAAATCGTCCATGTTACCAAAAGTGTTTCTAACTTAGTATGAAAGTACACCCTACGTTCAGCAACCAGACAAACAGATATTTTGAACTGTAAATATTCTAAATTAGGAAATCATATGTAATTATTACAAAAGACAACTAACAATGGTAGATTGTAATAATCTCACCTTATCTACTCTGCCATCATTTCGGGCTCGACTCAACATGTCATTAATCAACTCAGTTTTCACAGGCCCAGGGTGCAATGAAACAGCCGCAACGTTGTGTTTTCTCAGTTCCTGTGCACAGTCGTGCGCCATTTTGTCAACCTGGAAAGTTTACATCATAGCACGGCATGATTATTAACTTCGAATGAGTCACGCCCTCTAGCGACAAAAGCGTTCATGTGTTGTCAAGGTGACGTAATTGGTGTAATCGATATCGTTCAACTGAACTATTCTGTTTGTGTATTCAATCGTAATTTAGAATATAGCAAATCTCTAAAGCACATACACCAACGCAATATCGTTACCGAATGCATTCACTGCGAACAGAATCCTTCCGTCGCTAGAGGGCGCGATTTACATTTATGTATTATGTTCCATTAACGGAGTCAATGTGTGAACAGTCATTGCATCGAACCACATAAAGATAATATAATTTGTTATAATAATTTGTAGGTAAGTCCGATTATTTTTATAATTAGCGAGATTTATAAAAAAAACAACAAGCATTGATAGTCTCCGTTTAGTATTAGCTGTGGTCGATGTAAATGTTCAGTACAAGTGACATGTAGAAATGAAAGATCAATGTTTTTTAACACTAACACAGACTACAGATTGTGTTACTCTCAGTATAGTATCTACGTGGAAACTTTGAACTGAATTGGACTACATATTATAGAGGAAATAGCATGAAAGAAAAACACAGCCAGTCGGGTATTGTTGTTCAAGCAACTCCAAAAGAATGGCTGGCACCGTAACCTAATATGTAAGGTCATCATACAAAGTTTGATTGAAAATGCCCTATTCAACTTTGAACTGAATCAGGCCATATCGCCCTGTTCATCTCAAAGAAACAGTTCCGGACATAATACAGAATATGATTTTACGTTTTTTTGACAATGTGGCCACCATTTCGACAAATTTGATCAAATCTCAAAAACAAAACATGGTGTTGTGTTATCTTGAAGTATAGTATCTATGTACAAACTTTGAACTGAATCAGGCCATATCTTATGGAGGAATCAGCACAAAAACGAAAACAAAACAAAATGGCCGCCAGTCGGCCATCGTGAACCGAATCTCGAAAAAAAGTGAAGTGCACCTATAACCCAATACGCATGATCACCATGGCACAGTCCCAGTTAGTTATCAAATTTAAGATATATAGTTTTGTTTATAGTAATATAGCTGGAATATAACCATGTCAGGAATATGATTGTTAAACATTAAAATGATTGACATTTTTATCTGATCGTCAAACAAGTACTTGTCCATATTGAGAGATATTGCTCTGGAACAGCATTCAAAATCAGCCATTTTGAATACATGTATATACATGTATATAACATGATGTATAACGAATATATAAAATTTAAATATAATGAGTCAAAACATTTAAGAGATATGGCTCTAGAAGCCCAAACATTAAAACAAAATGGCCGCCAGACAGCCATTTTGAATCCGATCTGAAAAATAAATGATGTGCATCAGGAACCTGTAATGTCTAATATATGTACCAAGTTTGAACGAAATCCATCCATAAATTCCAGAAATGCTTGATATTTGATGATTGTTTAGCACAAAAATGGCCACCATTCGGTCATTTTGAATAGGATCGTCAAACCAATATATCTGTATATCTATGACATGATGTATAATGAATATTTAAAATTTGAACATAATCAGTGAAAGCAAGTCAGAGATATGGCACGAGAACCACAATCATTAATATAAAATGGCCGCCAGTCGGGCATTTTGAATCTTATCTGAAAAACAAAATTATTTGCATCAAGGTCCCATAATGTCTAATGTATATACCAAGTTTGAACAAAACCCATCTGTAAACAGCCGAGAAATGCTTGATTTTGATGATTTTTAGCACAAAAATGGCTGCCATTCGGCCATCTTGAATCAGATCGTGAAACAAATTAACGTGCATATTTATAATATCATGTATGATGTATGTGTGAAGTTTGATTGTGATTGGTCCAGGCATTTATAAGATACAGGTCCGGACGCACGCACAGACGCAAGCACACACACATAAGTCCCTGTTTTCGGACTGTATCCGAACGGGGACTAAAAACATCCTGTTCAGGTCCGAGAAACAGTTCAGGACACCTTTAAATATCAGAATTTAGCAAATTTGAGGGACAAAATGACTGCCACACAGCCATATTTAATCGAATCATAACGAAAAGGGTCATCATATCTTGTCTGTATGCCAAGTTTGAACGAGATCGGTCAAAGGGTGTCCAAGTAATGGCTCTGGGCGGACACACGGACGGACGGAACTGCAAATTAATAGTCCCCGTTTTCGGACTACCTTTTCACAGCAATCATATTGTATATAGACTACGCATCTACCTAGTGATGGTCATATTTACCCCTGCTTTTCCAGCACCATAAGCAACGTTAAACAGGTACATCAGTCCCCCTGGTGACGAGATGTTGATAATCAAACCCTGCTTTGCTGGTACCATCATTCTTGCTGCAAACACTGATGCAACGTAATGGCCTCTGACAAAATAAGGTAAACACATGATATGCTAGCCTGCTCACATATTTTCAGAATAAAATATATTAATGCGCGAGTTGTGTGTGTTATGTTTAGTAAGTGAACCACTATAGAAGGATTATAACATAGCTCGATTGGTCTGTGTTAAGGTAGCGAGAAGGGAAATTTTCACTTTTTTCTTGATTTTTCAAAAATTGATAAAACGGTTACTTTAGACCTTGATACATCACCCCAGGTTTACAAAAGATCGAAATTGCGAAATAACGTTGCTCAAATTAGTGTTTTAAAACACTAGCAGAAAAGACTACAACTGCCGTTTCGTGGATATTTGCATAGTGTTTATCTTTGGAAGGAATTAAATGATAACATCTTATCTGTATACTCTGTTGTTGACGATTCTGATATAACGGGTGATAAGCTTCCAGTTGCAAACAATGCGTGTTTATCTAACGTCCATTGTCAGCATTATTGTCAGTCGA